TTTTTTATTTTTTATATGATTTCATATACTACCTGGCTTGGAAGCACTAATAATAATTAATAAAAATAAGTAAGTAAATAAATAAATAAATAAAGATCTTTGTCATTTCTTCAAGGTGAGGTTGCACATGACTCGGACAGTGGTTATATTTCATAATGGTTATGTTTCTACGGCCACACATTGTCAAAGCCCTTTCCTCTTAATGAATTATGGAGAGAGACATTCATATCACTGACAGGTCTATTAGCAGAGGAGTGCTTGATCTCTAAACGCTCTATTAGGATACAAAAAAAGGCAATTAGGGACTCTTAAAGGTAAATCTTTTTGCTACCTTCTCAAATCTCCTCATACCAATTAGCTCCCACATTTATCTCTCTGACATGGACCTCATGGGAGCGAAGGCCCGTCTCATTACGCCACTTCAAATGAACTGGGGTGTTTCTGTCGAGGTGTCCAAGGAACAAAGTCAAAGCGCCACCATTTTTTTCCCCTTTCACTTCTTTTTGTTTGTGATGTTCTTGAAATTGGTTTAAGATGGTACACAAGCTAGTCCCCAAGCTAGTTTGACAGATTAGCATTAGATACACCTGTTCACCTTCACAGATTCTTGAATTCTCTTCGCAGGTCGCAATCCTTGTGTACCGAACAACGGCGGATGTTCCCAGCTTTGCCTTCCCACTTCTGAAACAACTCGGACGTGTTCTTGTACTACGGGCTACAACCTTCGTCCGGACCACTCCACATGTGAAGGTATGACCGTTAGTTTTGACCTCTGCATACGGACGTAATTAGCCTTCCGGTATTATTATTATTATTTCAAGAGCATATTGACCTGGACAGGGGTTGGTTTTATTTTTTTCTTTGCTAGGTCTTCAGTCTTTCCTGATGTACTCCATTAATGAAGGTATAAGAGGACTGTCTCTTGATCCCAGTGATAACTCGGAAGTTTTGATGCCGCTAACTGGCACTCTGTTCGCCGTGGGTCTGGACTATCATGCCGGTAAGTGCACTTTTTCTTTGATTATAAAAGAAAAAGCACAAAAACAAAAATAAACATTTATAATTAAATAATTTATGATTTTATATTATGAATTAATATTATTAATTCACACATGAAAATGTATTTCAGTTTTCATTTTATTTTTAGTAATTTTATGGCTTTAGTCATTGTTATTAGTTTTTGATATTTATTTGTATTTTAGCTTTAGTTTTAATAATTGTAATATTTTAGCTTAAACACTTTTTTAGTTTAGTGAAAACGTTTTTCAGCTAACATTTATATTTTATTTTACCTTTTCTTTATATACATGCATTGTTAAATCACAAAGGAAACTGCATTTTAATATTTTTTTACAGATACATGGTGTTATTTTAATATTATTTATTTAATATTATTTGTTTATTAATTTTTTTTAATTAGCTTTTATTTTTGTTTGCCATTTTCTTTTAAAATTAAAGTTTGTTCTAGTAATTTTATGTGCTTTAATTTTGTTGTTGTTTGTTTTTAATATTTATTTTTAAAATTCCTTTTTATTTCAGTTTTAGCTTTAGTAACTTTTTTAAACTTCAATTTAAACATTTAATTCAGTTAGTTACCAAGGCAGCATTTTTCATCTAATATTTACATTTTATTTCATTCCAGCTTTATTTCAATTACATGAATCATTAAATCATTAAGGAAAGTGTATTTTATTTTATTTTTTACTGTAATATACAGCACAAGTGTTATTTTAGTATTATTTATATAATATATAAATAATTTGTTTGTTTTATTCAACTTTATTTCAATTATTAAAAATAAGTCAGTAATTTTAGTTTAACAAATGAAATTTATGCTGTCGTAATTAAAAAACAAAACTAAACAAAATATATTAATGGCATAAAGAGGACAGTCATACTGAAAAGGTAATGGTCAAAGTTCATAAATTTTGGTGGTTTTGATGTAACATCACAGCTATAATAGTTAAAATTTGCTTTGAAGATTAATTTGTTAAAAGTGTTAGATGTTTAATATAAAAAGAGGTTAACCCCTAATGAATGGTGTAAAAATGTGGGGAAAATATATTATGTACTACAGATTATAATTAGGTAGAAAGTTTTGATTCTTCTAAAATGAGCTGTTATTGTTCTTTGAATTAGTTCTGTATTTTGAAACCAAAGCAATTAGGCATTGTCATGCCATGTGTCCTACAACATATCACCCCATGACATGGGGAAAACGTTCATTTGCAGGGTATCTGCCAGTATTTTGGACAGATTTCTATAGTGCAGTAATTGGACAACGGTCTCCACACTGATACAGAAATGCTACTCTTTGCATCAGCGACAGACAGTTTTCAGCTCTGCATTTGCATGATAGAGCAAATATTGGCTTTGCATTGCTTGTCTAAATATTTTTTTCAATGCAAGTTGAGGTGAAGGGATGCGATATGCTGTTATGACAGGTGGAAGATAATCGGAACAGATTAGCTGGACAGATGAGCCGATGTCTCATAACAGTGTGAATGGGCTTCATTGGAGTTTTTGTCAAAAGGGATATAATGTAAATTTTTGAGTGGGCGAGGAGCTGGTGATGCATGAAGCTACGGATAATGTCGTGCGGCCAAGTCAAAGCAATTTTCATGAAAAGCGTTTTGAAAGGGACAGACCATGGGAGCCAGGACAATCACGGGTACCTTGGGCCTTTTTAGCCTCTATTGTTTTGGAGAAAAGACAGGTTTGAATGAGAGGGAAAGGGCAAAGACATTTTGGCCAGCAGAAACAGACCCATTTTTGTAGGTGGAGCTTGGCACGCGGTCTTGTTTATTCAAAATTGCCCACCTGCACAAGAATGTGTACAGTTCTTAGCTGCTGTGACATAATAGGCAAAAAAAAATAACATTTTTTTTTTTAAGGTAATTGCCGAAGCAACACTTCTCAGTTTTATTTAGCAGGACTATTATACTTAACTAAAAATAAAAAAAAAAAGTTAATTGAAATAAAATAAATGTTAACTGAAATAAAATAAAATATAAAAAACATTTATTTTATTTTATTTCATTATTTTATTTTCTTAAACCAATTTTATTTTGAATGCAACATTTCTCATTTTCATTTAACTTGATGTACCATAACTAAAACTAAAATAAAAAAAAACTACAAAAAACTATATAGAAATATTCAAACAAAATGTAAACAAAAACTAATAAAAATGACAAGAACACACAAAAAAATATTACAAAAACTTAAAGGGGTCATATGATGCAATTTCAAGTTTTCCTTTAAGTTGTATTTACAACACTGTTCTAGAACAGTTCAAATCAAATATTCAGATGTGTGCAGCACATTTTATGGAGGACGAGGACTGTTTCCTGGGAGAGTAGCCTACAATGCCGGTTTTCCGGTGAATGCAGTTCCCCTGTTTCCCCTTTGGCGCGCATGCTGACCCTCTACAGTCTATGATGCTGACAAATAAATCTGACTCACAGCCTGTAAGTACGTTTTCATATTTAAAGGATTTGCCACTGATGATTCAAACACGAGTTTTGAGCAGTGTAGAGTAGCGCTTGTTGTTTGCCATTTCTCCGATCACAAATGCAGACATGGTTTTATGTTTACGCGGCGAGATGCAACGCAACGCGTAAAAAGACAGTTTAATCATTATAATCAGTAATTATATCCCCACTGGATGCAACAAATGCCTCGTTTGTAATGGGTTTTATTGGTTTTGTCTTGTCGCTCCGGGACACGGCATCACAGTATGGTAAGGGGCGTAACATTTCCGTCACACGCTTGAGGTATTCGG